GGACAAGGAAGGAAAGCAGGAAGAGTCTGAAAAGAAACCAAAGTCCATTCTTCATTCAGATGACGATGATTCCGATTTAGTAGATGACATAGCTAGCATGATGCAAGGTCAATTCAGCTCGACGAAAGATCAAATCATGCAACCGAGTTTACACCATTGTCGCCATTGAATAAGCCTAAACTGTGGCAGAGCAAAAACGACCTTCAGCACAATCGGGAAGAAGTCCTAAACGAAAAAGCAATTGAACGTACCCGAGAGAAAGTGCGACAAGCAGTCCAAAAGGAAAGGGGCAAGTTTGAGACTAGCAAAAAGGTTGACAATCGAGTCCAACAGGTCTTAAAAAGGGAAACTTAAAAGGGAATTATGGAATATCTTCAGCTACAAGGAATCAGTATCACTGCGTCGCCAGCCGAACCTGAAGAAAAGGTTCGAACGATGGTCGAGAACAAGTTGAATACTGATCGTGGGGCCCGTGTTGGCCGCCAATCCTTCTCCTCTACCCAACAACTCGACGATTACGTGGAGGTTATCATGGGTCTAGATCGAGACGATATTTTGGAATCCTTGGAGTTGGAGGAAGATTCCCCAATGGTTTCTCCTGAGTGGAGACAGGATGAAGCCAAACCGGATCTTCAATCGCTTTCTTCCGACTCTTCTTCCATGGCTTTTTTGCAGGAAAACCCTCGACGCCAAAGTCTACCAAAGCTGACTCCGACGAAGCCAGCCAAGACTCTCCCAAAGAGCTGACTAAGAAGACTCCGATGAAATCACTAAAGAAGAGTCCAATGAAGTCTCCCAAGCAATCGGCAATGAAGTCTCCGATGAAATCCTCAACGGCCGATACCGAGCTTTCCTTTTCTCAACCACTACCGCCAATGCCCGAGTCGCCTTCTGAATCTTCAGCATTGGGTGAGAAAATGTGGTTTGAGGAATCTCCAACAAAGACCAAAGCCTTGAAAACCACTTTTGACGAACCACCCACCACATCACCCAAAGCATCGAAAGCACCAAAAGTGTCACCGAGAACACCTACCGAAGCGACGAAAGAAGAAATAGAAACCCAATTGGGGATCTCACACGTGCGAAATTGGAAGAAGCTTTGGACAAGGCCAAAAAAAAAAAGCTATCTTAATCTCAAAGAGAAGCAGCGCCAATTGATTGCAGTCCATGAATAAGAGTTGGAGGCCTTGGCGAGGAAACAACAACTTTGCGCGAAGCGCGAAGCTCTTGATAATAAGGCCGATGATCGGCGAATGATCGAAACTGGTGGTTGGAGAAGATTATAGTACAGCAAACCACTGAGAGACATAAGAGGCCATCTTAATTATTGGCATTCAACCCGAGTCACGTGATGCCATTGCATTGCAGGTACGAGATGCCATTGTAGACAGTTTGTTTACGATATGATTAACTAGCTAGTGTTCGCCAAATCATAATTGACACTGGGGTGTTTGTGAACACCAGTGAAACTAGTTACCTCGTAAAGTTGCTAAATGGATACGCCTTCCATACTTCTAGCTCTATTATAGTCGTGTATCTACTGTCGCCAATAAACATTTATACATATGCATCTGAGTGAAACGCAATCTTACTCGAATCATCAATATTGATGTTTCATCTTAGAAAATTGTTTTCCTCCTCCAAAATCCTAATATGCGCTGTCTGATTGATTGTTGTGTATATGAATTCGCCCACTGCAACTAAAATTTCATATTCGTGTTGCAGCAGAGGCACCGTCATATGCGGTTGCTCTCTTTTCCGCATCGTTCACAGAACGTTCTGCGTACAGGCTATACGCAAACTTCCCAGATGCTCCAGTCACACTCCAACTATACTTTCATATACGCGTTGTAGCAGAGGCCCCATCATCGGTGGCACTCTTTTAAGGATCAGCATCTTTCAGGGAACGTTTGCACACACTTGTCGAGGCCAGTATGTTTGCCTTTCCTCACATACACAGTCAAAACAAACGACAGCTCCCACGTGGAGCTGAAGCGGACCGGAGAGATAGCTCAATGCCAGTTATGCTCTCTCTTTGGGATATCGCTTACGGGGTTCCCCCAGCCAAAGAAGTATGTGTTCTGGATTTGAGAAGCACCGCCATCTTCATGGGGTTGCTCTCTTTAGAACGATCAGTGTCGTTCAAGGAAAGTTTGCACATCATACTTTTGTATGTATATGCCTTATTCCCTTCACATCATGCACAGTCAAATCAAACGACAGCTCCCACGTGGAGCTGAAGCAGGACCGGAGAGCCTGCACCAAACCCCATGAGGCCTGTCTTACTGCAATCGAAGCACGGTAGCGGTCGAATGAACATTCGAGTAGCTCTCCTTTGGAGTAGCTCTCGTGACAAAATAAAGCCTCTGCTTTGATTTTGTGAGCATTTCGAGTGTGAAAAAGTGAATTGGAAGGAACCAGTTTAGAAAAGGCCAAGACTAAATCAGCGAAAGTTTGAGCACGTTTTCGGCAGGTTCTCAATTGTTCTCCGTGCCCGTTTGCAGTGTGACAGTAGAGTCCGTTGAGTCGAAAAGGTCTATCTCGCGCGGTCGGTTCTTGTACTATAATTTCCCGATTTCTCCGCATATTTATATTGTACAATTCATTGATGTTGAGTCATACCGGTCCACGTATAGTGACGTTGACCGAAATATTTTTACAATCAAAGAGCCCGCATCATCATCACAAGTGGTCTTCCTGCTGTTTGTATAGTCTCCTCCAGCATAGGAACTCTCGCCACAACTGTCATCCTCAACTTCACTAGACCACAATAGCGAGTACAAAAAGAATCTGAATGACATATATATCCTTTAGAACGAACTACAGATCCTGAAAACCTGAAACCGATCTAGAGTAATACTTCATCAGACGAACCAAACGAAAAGAATACATCACCCTAGCTAGTATTGGCATAAAATGCTTTTATCGGACATTCAGTACAGGAAAGTTTCCCAGGTTTGTCAGAAAGAAATATATGGACAAGGAAGGAAAGCAGGAAGAGTCTGAAAAGAAACCAAAGTCCATTCTTCATTCAGATGACGATGATTCCGATTTAGTAGATGACATAGCTAGCATGATGCAAGGTCAATTCAGCTCGACGAAAGATCAAATCATGCAACCGAGTTTACACCATTGTCGCCATTGAATAAGCCTAAACTGTGGCAGAGCAAAAACGACCTTCAGCACAATCGGGAAGAAGTCCTAAACGAAAAAGCAATTGAACGTACCCGAGAGAAAGTGCGACAAGCAGTCCAAAAGGAAAGGGGCAAGTTTGAGACTAGCAAAAAGGTTGACAATCGAGTCCAACAGGTCTTAAAAAGGGAAACTTAAAAGGGAATTATGGAATATCTTCAGCTACAAGGAATCAGTATCACTGCGTCGCCAGCCGAACCTGAAGAAAAGGTTCGAACGATGGTCGAGAACAAGTTGAATACATGGGGCAACCAATCTTGCTTTGTGTTCGACTTGTGGCGGCGGAGAGGAGTCCGAGGTCATGGCGTCGCATGCAGACCTTGCGCTGGGAGCACAAGGTAATCTCTTGCTTCGCACAAAGAAAAAGAAAGGGGACGTATCCGAACAATTGTTGACCGGTATATCACAAGGATACCAAGAAGCTTACGATAGGAATCGCGAAACAACGATGGCTGCAAAGGCAGACAATACTACATAGTCCAAACAGCTGTTGACCAGTATATCACAAGGATACCAAGAAGCTTTTGATAGGAATAGCGAGGCAACGATGGCTGCAAAGGCAGACAATACTACATAGTTGAAAGAAACTGAGAATACCCTAGGACCTTTTTATGATGTTGCAAGTGGAAGAAGTTGGAGCGAGCTTGAATTTAAAAACTAGAAGCTTCTGTTGAATCGTCCAACATTTGATTTGTTTTCTATCCCTGGTCGTCGCAAGCTTGGTTGCCCAAGTTATTGGCTTGTTGTAAATTGTCACTGTCACCCGCAGAAGTTCAGGCTAATAATGCTGATGGGCAGACGTCACTGTATCGCAATAATGCAATCAACAATCTCTCCCTCTCCAATTATCCATCATTTTCAAGACTGTGGTTAGTTAAAGTGTCACCACAGTCGCTTGGATCTAGACTATTCCAATGCAAAATTTGACTGGGTCCACCATGTAGCCTTGGTCAGGATGAACAAATTTTCATGAGCTTGGACTAGCGTGGGTACTAGTGATTGACTTGAACTACTAGGCTTGTGGCGCTTGGCAGCCTGCATGAATTCTGCCATGTCATCATCCACCAGTGGAACGACAGGTGCTGCACAACAAGGCAATGGCAACCGTTCGGCAACACATCCTTCAGGATCTTGAGCAGAGGATGGGAGTGGTTGTTAAGGTGTGTATTGCAAGTATGATTCTGGAATCTTGGTCCCAGGATCTAAATCCAGCAACTTGCACCATTTGGATACACGGCCATCCCCTTACTTCCCTTAATCTTCATACACCACCACTTCTTTCTGTGGACGAGTCAAACAACGATTTGAAAAATTTGGCAAGACAAAAGTGTGGGGGGACTTTTCATTTTGCGACTTTTATTGTGTAGAAAGAGCTCGAAGCTCTTTGAGATTCCAAGGAATCATCGGATGGACTAGCATTCAGCAAATGAGCAGATGACATGTACCAAATTCAAAGTAGAAATGATACAAGACGACGGGTTTGAGACGACAATTGATTGCATCGGCTAGCCATCATCAAGACCCCAATGGACCCTAGAAACGTGTACACAATTCTAATTACCACTCGCTTTCTCGTCATGTAGGATAGCAATTACCTCATTCGATTCATGGGTACAATAAGCAATACTCTTGCCTATAGGTTATAAGAAATGGCTGATGTTTTGTGTCAAATTTATTGATTTTTTATGTTTTTCTTTTTCTTTGATGAAAGTATCATACTGTATTTATTCGACAACTGATGTGTCGTTTTCTTGGTGTATTGTGCCTTGCATTGTATTTTCGAATATGCACTGTGACTTGACTGTAGCCTTGATTGTAGTATGTTTTGTCGTTTTGTATTGTGTTGTATTGTGTTGTATTGTGTAGTATTCCTTATTCCTTCTGCAACTATCATTTCATAGACGTGTTGCGAAGAAGCAAGGTACCAGTAGCGGTGGAAAGGACATGAGTAGTGGCTCTCTTTTGGAGCAGTATCCTTCAGATGGAAAGGGCATGGGTAGTAGCTCTCTTTTGGAGCAGTATCCTACCAATACAAAGCTTTACTACTGCAACTATCATTTCATAGACGTGTTGCGTAGAAGCGAGGTACCAGTAGCGTTGGAAAGGATATGGGCAGTGGCTCTCGTTTGGAGCAGGATCCTTCAGCAAGAAACATAGTTTCGAATAGGCCGCAACCACAAGGTTCTTTCACGGAAGCATCCTCCTCTTTCAGGGTCCTTTAACATAGTCAGTTGCGATTGCAAAGTGTTGGCCAACATTTTTCTGACAAATCAAGGACACTGAAAAGAAGAAGATTGGTTCGAGAAAAGATCAAAGTGGAAGTGGTGGGTGTGTTCTCATAGGTAGAGAAGCAGGGCCTGCTTGAGCAAGCGATCGAAAGCTCTATTCTTGGCTGAGCAAGGTTGTCTCATCGTTGCTTCGTCGAATGACAGCCCATTCCCATTCGGTTTGAAACAAATTAATTCGAGTCCCAGGTATTTGTGCCTCGAGACGGAACGAGCGTTCAGTTCGCTCTCTCATCTCCTTGAACTTCTGGTCATATCGCTTCTTTGCCATCTTGCGCTTGTAAGATCCAATAATTGTTTTACCAGACGATGGTGGGTTGGTTCTTTGAGGACCTTGGCCAAGGTAATCACACCCGACCTTGAGGCAGAAATTCGGCAGTACCACAACCCAATAGTACTTGACTTTGCCAGGATACTGTTCAAGCATTCCCTGGACTGCAAGCTTGACAAGACTAGTCATGGTGCAGCTCACAATAGAAAGAGCCGAGATCCACATGCAAACCCAGCTTGAAAGTGCAGAGATCAAATCAGTAAAGACTCGGACCACGGGCTTGGTCGTTTCAATGCTTCGCTGGAGGGTAAGGTTGGCAAGATTCATCATGACGCAGATGAAACTTGCAAGTGTCCAGAGCAAGAGGAAGATCAAGTCAGCAAAGACTGGGACACACGTCTTAAGAGTAAGCTTGAAAAAACCTGTCATGATGCGGGTCAAGCTGGAAAGTGTCGAGGTCATGGCCGTTCCAAATGAGTAGATTGGAAGAATAGATGGCGACCATGGCATCATGTTTCCCTCAGAGCTGAAGGTTTGGTTCATGGGAAGATTGAGGACTTCTTGGCCCACAAATGCAAAGACAGGTGTGATGCAATGGGCCAAGGCTTCTGCACAAACTTTGATGATCAAGTCTTGCGGACCAAAGGGAACCAAGTCGCTTGAGCCAAGAATGACCAGGTCGGTACAGGTAGAAACTCTGAGCACCAATTCTCGTGCAGCAAAGAGTACCAAGGATCGTGTTGCTCTCACGACGATGGCTCGTGTGGCTCTGACAATGATGGCTCGTGTGGCCATAAGGACCAGATCGCGTGGAGCTCGGACAATGAGCTGTAGATAGGTTTCGCTGGTTGGAAGAGCAAAGATTTGGCTGTTGAGAACGGTGGCGTTGCCAATAAAGCTCTTGATTATGTTGGTGATCCCTCCAATAGCATCGGAAACGGTTCGACCGACTGCAGCAATGGAAATGGATCCGAAGATGGCTCGGACGCCTGCAACAATGGTGGTGGTTTGGGTGGCGATGACACTGTGGACTGCTGGTGCAACTGCAACTCGACTGATGAGCTGCTGAGCAATGACAGGCATGGCGGCGACGAGCATGACAATCAGAGTCAACGCAAGTGGCATGGTGATGGTGTTGATGATGGTGTTGATGATGTTGTTGTTCATGAAGATGAAGGAGAACATCGTTGCGATAAAGTTGTTTGTTTGCTGGTAAGGAATAAGTTCGATATCACACACAAAAGCTTGATGCTTTGTTTTTATGAGCATTTCTGAGTGAATTCAAGATTGCAGCACGGTCTTGGAAAGAAACGGGTTGAAATCGTTTTCATCGTGGAAACACGCTCACGGTCGCTAAAAGAAACGACTTTCATTTCGCCTGCTGGAATTTCTTAATGAAGCAATCCGAAGTCGGCCGTGTTCTTCGATCATGCCTTTATTCAGCTTTTGAAGGCGATGGCGCCTGCATAATGGCATGGACGCAAAAGCTTCATCATCATTGTCATACGGTTTGCTACATCAAACTTTTTATATATCATCTTCGGTCGATTCGAACGAAACGGTTGCATGATCGACTACTGCGACTAAAATCCATCGCAAAACAAACGACTAACGAAATACCTGTATATAGGTACTGCCGTGCACCTTCCACCTGAAGCAATCCGAAGTCGGCCGTGTTCTTCGATCATGCCTTTATTCAGCTTTTGAAGGCGATGGCGCCTGCATAATGGCATGGACGCAAAAGCTTCATCATCATTGTCATACGGTTTGCTACTTCAAACTTTTTATGTCAATGTAGAATATAGAAAAAGTGTAAATATTGATGCACGCAAGTGGTGCTTACACATTATAAAACACAGTACTATACAATGCCTATTCTACCAGCTAATTAAAATTGTCAAAGTATGATTGATTGAGGCTCGGTGCTTGTTCGTCAAAACTCGTCGTCGCTAGGTTGCTATATATCATGGTCATCAGGAATTACGGTTTCCGGTTTCCAGAAATGGATGAAGTGACATGCACCAACGCCATCAGCTGGCTTGAAAAGGGTCAGGTTCGTTCAAAGGCGTCAGCATTCCAACCATGTGCCCCAAGTTAATGGTGGACACCATCGGAAGCCGTCACCAGCGTATGATCATTCGTTAATCCTTGGCCGACGCCAACTGGCGAGGAATCGCATGCCATCGCTATTCTGCTCGCACCACGATATGGACTATGAGCCATCATCGTGTAGAAGTATTCGTATCGCTCGGTCTACCTCTTCTTCCGTTATACCCTGTGTAGTGTCACAGTGAATGAACCTTTTCTGCAGGAACTCGGAGTCGTCGGCAGCTGTTGGACGATCGTCCAAAATCACAAATCGAATGCCGTGTTCCTCACTTATTTTGTCATAATGACCGCCACCACTATTAGCCGAATTGTGGATCCCCATCTCAAGTTGGAAGTATTCCTGTAACCAAGCTCGAATCTCTTGGGCACGACTAGAGTATTCTTGATCGTCGCTCGCCTTTCGACCTTTCATGCTGCGATTGAATCCGGGTGTCGATCCAAGAATCTTTTCTTCAGGAATTCCATAGTTGCTTAGAATGTAGGAAATGTAGTCTCGAAAATGCCTCCAGTAGGTGCTTAGTACAATATTTGCCCCAGTCGTCTCGACAAGACGTCGAAAACGTTCCAACAAATCATCATCGAGCCGGATATGTGTTGCATGTTTGGTTCGATTCAAAACCTGCAATCGGGAGTGCGACGATAAGGGCGCAGCAAAGATCAGATGCAATGATATTAACAATGCAGAGGTAGATATAATGTGAGATGAGCTTCCGAAGAATCGAATGGACAGAGAAAGGATGCGGTCGTCATTTTCAATCGTCCATGAGCAATACAAAAACAAAAAACCTACCTACCCCATCAATATCCAAGAAGATAATCGGAGAATGACTTTGCTGAGATTTCTCTCCCTCATTCATGATATGTGATTTCTTGTTTGATATTAACAGTTCTGATCTATGATGTTGCTTGGAGCTCATAGCACTGTGGGTATATTATAATATCAGATATGATGCAATGACAGGATAGTGCTTTGAGATTTTGAACCTGCGATGATAAAAGGATGATTCGATTTCAGGCATTGACATATCATCCGTCAGCATCATCTCCCGGGCCTACACGTGGAAGACATTTGAGGGAGAGGGAATACATTTCACAAAAAATAAAAACGAGCATCATCAACAAACGCAGTCATCAATACATACCGGTATATCTTCGTACACCATCCCATGACAAAGGTCTTGGACGCTCTGATCTGTCTGACTTTCTTCCCCTTCTTCGCCAAACGTTTCAGCTATCCAGTTGTCCCACAAGTCACAAACAACAGTATGCTTAGGGTATTTCGGCCATGAAGTTTCGGTATTATACGACTCACAGGATAATCTGATAGACAACAAATCCTTATTATTGCACAAAATCCCAAATTTATTGGGCGTTCAGTTGGCACAATGTTTTCAGACTATCATCGACCGCGCCAAGAACGACATACGATTTCGAAAAACAACCAACTCAACCATGCTACAAAGAAGCTGAGGCAACGATTGTGCTTTGGCTTAGTATTGGCTTTCTTCATCTGCTGTATATGTGCCTCTGTTCTACTGAACCCATCAACACTTGAATATGATTCATCTGCGCTAATCTTTTGGATGGAGAACAGCACGGGTACTTTTGGTGCCTCGCAAAGAAGCACCAACAACCCCGATGACAATCATCTCATTGACGATTTCAGTTCCAGCTTCAGAATAATTAAGGCAGACAATAATAATGGTTCATCAGCCACCAACGCGCAGATTGAACTGCTCCGCCCCACTGGTCGAATGGTATATTCCTATGTCCGAGGAGACCGTTCCGGAGCTGCCATTCAAGACATGCTCATGGCGCATGCCTTTGCCTTTTCCAGAGGTCAAAGATACGGAGGAGCTTGTCAACGAAGGGAGTTTAAGGATTATGTCATTCAACCCCGCAGGGATTTACTTCGGATCCTAGGACTGGAATCCGAAATGCCCTTTCAATGCTCCTCCACCGGTAAACTCATGAATCGCGCCAAGTATACCCAGCAAGATACCGGTATTTTCACACCCAAGTATCTGAAGTACATGCATGCTGTCATGATGATGGAGAAGCAGCAGCAGCAGCAGCAGTCATAATTTGCGCCCCAAACAAATCACCGTACACATTCGTCGGGGTGACATTACCCCATGTCGACCAAGAACCAATGGATTTCCTCGCTATCTTCCCAATCAGCATTACTTAAATCTGATCGAACGCTACAAGGCCAAGTTACTACTGGCCAAGAATGACATGGCGGACAAGCAACCCATCAAGGTAGTCGTCTATTCAGAATCCGAAACCTTTGAACCGTTGGATGAATTCTCTCAAAAGGGATATGATCTCTGACTAGACGGTAGTATTGACCAAGTCTGGAAGGCCATTGCTTTTGAGTCCGATGTGGTGATTCTTTCTCGATCCAGTTTTAGTCTGGTACCGGCTGTCTTAAGTTTGCCAAATACTACAATTGTTTACACTCCCTTTTGGCACAAACCACTGCCCCACTGGGATGACCTTGGCACATTGGATCCAGTTCTAATGAACACCACGCTGGCCGAGTTCCGTCGACTCAAGTTAACCTGTCCTCCGAAAGTGGAACGGAAGCGTCAAGAGAAGGAGCGGAAACAAAACATCAAGTATTCTTAGGCCGAATATTCTATGCTATGCTATGTAAACGTTCGTTTTTTGCAATTTCAATTTGAGATGGGTCGGAGACAACTATCTAGATCGCAAATGGCAGCTCCAGATCCTGAATCAGCGCAGGAGACTTCGTGGCGTGTACGTACCGTCCGAACAGGATCATTTGTATAGCCTCATCTACCATGTAATAATCCAGAAAAAGTCGATTACGCCGACGCATGTCTCTGTGATGAAGGAGCTTGGAAACTTTACCAACGCTGAAGCGACCGACAAAACGTTTCGGAATGGATACCTAATGGTGAAACCACATGACCACACAGTGTACTTTTTTGATCAGGCAGGCCTAGAATAGGAAGAATCACCTTGATCGAGTGGTGACTTATCTATTCAAGACATGCGATATGTGACATCAAAAGATGTGTACATAGTGATCACCAGAATCTGTCAGTCCTGTTCAGATTGTATGGCATCCTACTTTCGTCTTGTACAGGGATTTACAGAGACGTTGTATTTGTGCTTCCTCGTCGCTAGTGGTGCAGACCAATACTTATTGTTCATATGGTCGTAAACGCAGTTGCAACATGCATATACATTGGAGTTGGCAAACAAGTGAGTGGTACTGGGTCAATATCGCTCCAGAGAGGAAGTTGATCGATGGCCGTTACAAGCAGTTGAGTGGGTTCCTTTCGTTCAACCATTATTCTTCGACTGCAAAGATGGAGACAATAGGTCTGACGATGCTAAGTGCAATAGGATTGAAACGCCACGACGAGGAACAATTGACAGTATAGGTGCATCTGACAATAGCCAGTTTTTGTCTTGACCAAACATACCATGTGAGTTGTATCATATTTGTAATTTTAGAAAAGCATGTGTATTAGTCCTATATGGCAAAACTACCCTAACTAGTAATACCAAGTCTTTCAAATGCTGTCGACTGACTGACTCATTTTTCGTGGCAGTCGTCACGTTCTAAAGGAACTCGCAAACACTCGGAATGATTGTCTCTGCTCCACATCGTATCCGGTAGGAATATCGATCCAATATTTCTGCCGAAAAACTTATTGCTTCTTGAGAATGTGCCATAGTGACTGCGATCTTCCAAAGAGTGAGTTCCAACAGAGACAGTACCTCGAGACGTTCGTATTGTGCCAGTTTGGATTCCACCCAACTCAAGAATGCTACCTTTGCCCTTGCATTGCTTGCAGAGGTAATCGACCGTATGGCTTGAGAGAGATCCTCCCTCCATTGGACCAATCCCCAGTGATTCATTCGATCCAACATGGTACGCTGGAGTACCATTTGAATGAGGTTGGCCGTGTTGGGTGCCTCGTTCTGGCACAAGTAATCCACTGGCCTATTTCCATATTTGTCGTTTTGCGTCAGCGTATCGATGGGCAGCAGATTTGTCAATTCAAGAAAGAAATCTTCTCTGGGTTTTGCGGAAACCCCCAAAATGTGCAAGGGTGTCATGCCAAAGGAATCGACACAGGCACCATCCTGCTCTGGCTGGTTTACTACATGCTGCGTCACACAAGTCGCAAGGTCCTCAACAGTCAAAGCAGTACTCCCAGCATTGTAGCAGAGTTTGTGAATTGGGAGCTTGTCAAATCGATGAGTCAAAGACGTGAGGAGGTCCCCACCAAAGCAACGACCTTCCAACATGGAACAGCCCGAGAACGCATTCTTGGCGTATTCCCCTGCTCGATCCGACGAGTGTGCGGGGAGGACAATCATTCGTAGCGATTCGCAATCCGCAAAGGCCTTGGAGAGTATCCACTCTAGGCCGTTGCAAAGTTCCACGGCTATCAACGAGCGGCAGCCACGGAAGGAACCTTGCTCAATCGCCGTGAGGGATGGTGGAAGCGCCACTGATTTGAGCGACTTGCAGGATTCAAAGGCAGAGCGATGAATTCGTTGCAAGGTTGGTGGGAAATCGACATACAACAAGGCTTCGCAAAAGTAGAAACCATTCGCCTCAATGGATTGAATCGCGGTATGTTGCATCTTCATAAACTTCAAAGCTTTGCAATCGTGAAAGGATCTTGCCTTGATGTCCGTCAATTTCTTAGGAAGCGTCGCTTCGGTCAATCTCAAACAATAGAAAAAGGCATACTTTCCAATCTGCTCCACACTGGTAGGTATTGCGACATTTTGCAACGATATGCAACCTTGGAAGGCTCGCTCCTCAATCACTTTCAATCCTTCCTTCAGGGTTAGGTCGACAAGAGCTTCACAATAAAAGAAGGTATACTCTCGTATCGTTTCGACTGTCGAAGGAATCGAAATGGAAGTCAACGACTTGCAATAGAGAAAGGCAGCGGGGCCCAAGAACTTTAGATTGGATGGAAGCGCCGGGTTGGTGTGTGGAATCTTCTTGGTTCGGTCTTGGTCGTCAGCAGAGGATGATGTATGAATAATAGTAGTGGTAGCAGTAGTAGTATTCTTGGGTGGATACGATCCAACCTGAGTGAGGGACACACACGCCGAAAAGGCTCGTTCTTCAATTCGTTCCACCGAGTCCGGGAAAAGAATCGTTTTCATCGATTGGCACTTCTTGAAGGACGACCCGCCTATTGTCTTTAAATTGTGACCATAAATGTCAACTTGCGTTAACTGGGTACAACTCGAAAAGGTTTCCGGCGCAATGTCCTGAATGTAAGAATCCACCGCTACTGCAGTGATGCTTCGTGAAACATCCGATTGACCCATGTAGTGAAAACAGGCAGAGGCATTTAGGCCCAATAGGTCTTCGTTGTTGGTCATTATGATTCTCTGGAAGAGTGAAATTTCTCTGAATCTATGTAGGAATAAAGGAATGAATGAATCAGCACATTTGTTTTCAATAGAAGACAAGAGCTTAGACCTTCCAAATGTTGCCTAAGATCCAAGACGTAGAATGGAAAAACGGAAACGTGTATTACTGTAATATCCGCAAGAACAAACAACAAAGAGTGATGCCTTCAAGTCATAGTATATGGGATTGAGGATACCGTACTATACTGCACGAGCAAGAATAATTTTGGATTGATTCGGCAGATGATAATGTCAGAGTTTGATGGACCGCGCAATGGAGCGCAGAAGTACACGTATACTCTCTCTCTAGAATTTCAACATCTGAGATTTACGCGGACTCTCGGCAACAGTGCGATGCTGTGACCTTTGTTTAGCGTGAATGTTTAGCGTGGATTTGGACCTATCAAAGTAATTGAATGAACGAAGTGCAGACGACGATAGTGAAATACCCAAACCTCACCACAATGACAATTCAACTCTACACTGGCTTAAAATTAGATCGAATTTTGTAGTCGAATGTTAACATATTGTATTCTATCTTATTGCGGATGTCATGGGAGGAGGTTGTTGCCTAGATACAACTGGAAACCTGGTCATTCTAACTCCTGATGATCTGGCAACAAGCAACAATGCACACCAATCATTCAGCCATGAACCGTAGGTTTTCGTCATATTTGATTTGCCAGGCGGGTTGTCACATTCCTCATTACTCTTCCATATATCATCTTTGAGCGCCATTCTGAGGAAGCATGCTGGCTTGTAGGTAGCAATCATTGAAGAATTGTCGCCAAGCAATTGCTGCTGCTACCCCTGAAACCTTGTATTGCATCAGCTACAGCAGTCGCAAGTGCCTTCATATGTTGTGCATTCTTGGTATGTCGCACAATTCGCCTGAAAGTTCCCCAGTTCGTCTGATTTATTTCATTCTATCTCCGTCAATTCTCCATCTTTCTAAGCCAAAAGTGCATCTGTGCAATCTTCAATCCAAAGAAAATATTCACCTTCCATTATCGCTCTTCATCTGTATGATTATCATCTCGAGATTCGTTTCTGGAAAGTAGTGACATTCAGGCCAAAAATTGACGTTTTCAGCTCCTCATAACTTCATCAATCCTGGTTCATTCGCACCCCCAAAAAATGAAAACGCTATTTCTCCAATAGGATCATAGGATACTGGAACGGCGTCGTCTATCTCGAAGTTTATGAGAATCCTCATTTTTCCATGATGGGTGATGATATGTCCGTTATATACCGGTATGGTGTGGGTGATGATGAGGAGGATGACATGTAAACACTAAATTAGCCGCTCTCGACTCACCCCGCCTATGTGCGTGTACATATTTATATAGTACAATTCATTGATGTTGAGTCATACCGGTCCACGTATAGTGACGTTGACCGAAATATTTTTACAATCAAAGAGCCCGCGCATCATCATCACAAGTGGTCTTCCTGCTGTTTGTAGTCTCCTCCAGCATAGGAACTCTCGCCACAACTGTCATCCTCAACTTCACTAGACCACAATAGCGAGTACAAAAAGAATCTGAATGACAT